AAAGAATTTTTTTATGTTTATTTTTGAGAGAGAGAGACAAGAGAGTGAGCAGGGGTGGGGCAGAGAGGGAGACACGGAATCCGAAGCAGGCTCCGGGCTCCGAGCCGTCAGCACAGAGCCGGACGCGGGGCTTGAACCCACAGACCGCGAGATCATGACCTGAGCCGAAGTCGGACGCTCAACCGACTAAGCCGCCCAGGTGCCCCTGGAATGAAAGATTTTTGAGAGAACAAGATTTGAGGGTGAAAAGCTCAGATTTCGATGTTAAGTTTGAAACCCGGTCTGACATCCAAGTGAGGAGGTCAAGTAGGGAGCCGGAGAGGCGATTCTGGCACTCAGGGGAAAGGTCCGAGCTGGAGGTATCTATTTGGAAATTATCTGCAGAGATGTTGGAAACTTTGAGACTGTTATTTAATAGGTTACTGTTGAGTGTTATAAATTCCACTTTCTGACTGGGGCTTCGTACTGATTCCTCACTGCCTAGCTGATGGAAGTTTTCAAGTTGATAAAAACACCCATGGAAGCTTTCTGCCCCCGACCACCACAACTTCCTTGACCTTTGACAGCTTGGTCAACATGACTCTATCTCACTGAATCCAGACATAATTTTGCAGGTCACTGGACATTTTAATCAAAGGATGCCAGTGTCTTGCTTGACAAACTGAACAGGAGAAAGAAATGGACTTTGTCGATATTCCTTTTAGAGAAATGTGTCCTGCATTGTTAGACCATGGCTTTTGACTTTTCTCCGGCCTCTGACGCCACGTACAGGAGCTAACTGCGGGCTAAGCTGCCCGAGGTTCGCGTCAGCTACTGATGCTCGCCAGGGCCTGCCTGTATTTCTGTGCTGCCATGGGAGGCAGGGTTAATATGCAACTGGCCACGCCAGCTGTTGCCAGAAAGAAGAACCCCGAATGAACTGTTCTGAAACAACTACTTATTTGTTGATACACAATGTTTTTTCCTAGAATATAGACAGATAATTCCACAAATCAAATCTCCTCCCAATTGGTTAATTTTCCTGCATGTTTTACAAACCTTAAAGGGTAGGCCAGAAAACAAAATTGTTCAAAGTTCCATGCTCTGAGGATGTTATTTTTTTTTCTCCTGGCCAAGGCTGTCTTGAAAATTGTCCAGACTAAAACTACTGGGGTTAAGTTATATGGAACAGAAGAATTTGGGGGTCCAATTACCTAACTGTCTGGGCGTTAGAATAAATTCCAAGCCATGTTCTGAGGAAAATTCTAGTCTGCTTAGGGGTGCTTGGCTGGCCTGCACACAGCTTTCTTGTGAAGTTCCTCACCTTTATTTCATTTAGTGAATTTTATTCATCCAACAGCTATTATTTTAAGCACTTCCCACTGGCCAGGCGCTGTGCTAAGCACCGTGTCTACAGGAGCGAGCAACACCCACGTGTACTCTGCCTCCACAGACGGGCTGAACATTAGGTACTTGCCAGGGCGTATAATCTCAGGTTCAGGGACACCCAATCCCTAATAAATGCTCTGCTGCAACAAAGTCCTGGCAGGTTTTTTTGAAGTTAGTTTTCCTCTAAATGTTTCGAAACCTACCTCTGTATAATCTAACCAGTAAAAAACGAACATGTTGACTATATTATATCGCTCCTTGGTAGAACTACTTTTACTGAACAGAGCCTCGGAAGGATGCCGTTGACTTAGATTAGTAATGCGTTAAGAATCGGTTCCGGGAAACCCTTCACACTGTTCACTGGGATGACTGTTACCCTCACCAGCTGCACACCAGGTGGTAAGCTCTTTATTTATAGTGCTTTAAAGAATGCCCAGAAAATGTTTATTAAGAGAAGTGACCACACAATGTTAGTAAATGGTTGATTTGTCCTATATAACGAAGAGGGATAATCTTGTTTCTTAAATCCTGCCAGGTCCCAGCAATACAATCAAATCATTTGGAAACCGGTCTCAGAGAAAAAGCAAAGTAATGGTATAGATGCAAAATGGAGAAAGGAATGAGGCGAATGTAAAAATACGTAGCACGAAGCCCTCTGCGCTTATTATAGATAAAACATTTACTTCTAAGCTTTCTAGCAACCTCTCTAAGGACGAAATCATGGTAAGCTGGATATGGCACAATGACTACTAGATAAAAACAAAAAAAGGATAAAACTAACTTCTTGAAAGAAACGCAACTATTTCTCACACGAAGACAAGAAATAAATACATCTTAAGGGCCCCCTCTCCCCTGGCTAGCTCTCTTTCGAGGCGAGCATGAACAAGGTACCAGAGTGGCAGAGGCAGCAAGCTAAGAAAAAGTTCCCGCCTGGCCCTACTGCATTCAAATGAACACAGGCACAAGGGATGACCCTGAATTTGGAGATTTGTAAGATTTCATGACAGGTATTCTTTTTTAGAAAACATTTTTAAGTTTTATTTATTTATTTTGACAGAGACAGAGCAAGCAGGGGAGGGGCAGAGAGAGGCAGAGAGAGAGAGAGAGACAGAGACAGAGAGATCCCAAGCAGGCTCTACACTGGCAGCGCAGAGCTAGACAGGGGGCTCGAACCCATGAACTGTGAGATCATGACCTGAGCCGAAACCAAGAGTCGGATGCTCAAACAACTGAGCTACCCGGGTGCCCCTCATGACAGTTTTTAGCTTCCTCCACACATACAATCCCTATTCCACTTGTGTCCTTGTGTGACGGACCACACACGTTTTTAGTGTGTCGAGACTGACCATCATCTCCTGGTATCTAGTAACCAGCTTCCTTCTTTCAATGATGAATTATTCCTTCCAATTTTCTTCCCTATTACAGTTGCCTAAGCTAGACACTATGCTTCCCATTTCCCGATGGCAACACGTGGTCACAGGACCAGGTTTTTGCCACAGCTGTGCGTGCAAGTATAAGTGACATATGCAACTTCCTTGTCACTTCCTTACACACAAGTGTCCTGTTCTTCATGTTTTCTAACCACCCTCCACTCCCCTCTACCTGGAAGATGTACAGGTGATGCTGAGCCAGTTTTCATTTGTTTTTAAATAGCAGACAAGGCAACACCCCAGGCGATGGCAGGACAAAGTGACAGAAGGAACCTGGGTCCCCAGAGCAGAGCAGTCTACACACCCTGAGCTACCTGCCTACCTCTGGATTGTTTCAAAGCAAAGAAAGAAATTTCTGCTATCTAAGACGCTGTATTTTCAGCTCCGTTTATCCAGCAGTTTAGTCTGTACTCTAACCAACACAATTTAAAAACCTTATTAAGTTGGTATGTTTGCTTCAGGGTTCAACAAATTGAAAGGGCCTGAGAGAACCTAAGTTTGTTGTATGAAATATGAATGAAGGAAGTCTCTCCAGAAGGGAAATATACAAGAGCAACAAAAGAAATTACTGGGAGTGGGAAGGAGACCACCCAAGGACTTACAGGTGTCCTAAAGGAGATTCTGGGTAATGTCCAACATTTACACAGAAATAACATTCGTAAGTAAAATGAATGAAAAATCTTCACATTAAGAAAAATACATTATTGGGGCGCCTGGGTGGCACAGTTGGTTAAGCGTCCGACTTCAGCCAGGTCACGATCTCGCGGTCCATGAGTTCGAGCCCCGCGTCGGGCTCTGGGCTGATGGCTCAGAGCCTGGAGACTGTTTCCGATTCTGTGTCTCCCTCTCTCTCTGCCCCTCCCCCGTTCATGCTCTGTCTCTCTCTGTCCCAAAAATAAATAAACATTGAAAAAAAATTTAAAAAAAGAAAAAAAAAAAAGAAAAATACATTATTAAGCTTGCCGATTTTATATAATTGTGCTCATTTTAATAAGACCAGGTATAAACAACGTAGCCTCGTAGACCCAAATTAGAGGTGCTGAAATTTCAGGTTGTTTTGTTGACTTACGTTTCATGGGTGCCAAAAAAGAAGATAGGATATTTGTTTGCTGGAGGCTTCACAGCTCCCTCTGGGAGTTCATCAATCTGTTAAAGATAAATTTAGTTTTTAAATATTCAGTTAAATCATGTAAAATAGCATAAACAAAATATTGTTCTGATAATTTTTTTGCTAATTTCAAAATAAAATTATTCTAATCAAAATCCCAGTAATTTTTCTTCTTTTGAACCTTCTAAGTGATTCTAAAGTTCGTATTTGGCCCACCACATGGACAGTAACACTGTAAATTGACTATAACCATTATGGTGATACATCACCAGGAGCCCAAACTACTCATTTCTTCTGACTCAACAGCATTACTTCTGGAATCTGTCCTAGCAAAATAGTTAAAAAGAATAACAACAACAACAAACAAAAAGATGGCACTTTTTGGAGAGGACGGTGAATTTACACACACGCACACACTACACCTAGAAACATACATGCTGTAAGGCAGAGAATTATTATGGAAAATTAACTCAGTGAAATATTATACAGTCATTAACAATCACCATCTCTTTCCTGGACTATTCCAAGTCTCTCTCCACTCGTTTAAGCTGGAATTACATTTAAAATGCACATTTGATTATCTCACATCCCTGCTTCAAATCCTTCTATGGTTTCGCATTGCTTAAAGCATCCTTAACTGTGCACATGAAACCTTTGGAACTTTAAAAAAATGATACTTAGGGTGCCTGGGTGGCTGAGTTGGTTAAGCATCTGACTTTGGCTCAGGTCATGATCTCACAGTTCGTGGGTCCGAGCCCCATGTCGAGCTCTGTGCTGACAGCCTAGGGTCTTGGAGCCTGCTTCAGATTCTGTGTCTGCCTCTCTCTCTGCCCTCCCCCACCCGCACTCTGTGTGTCTCTCTCTCAAAAATAAACAAACATAAAGAAAGAATAATGTTACTTTAGTCCCCCCCCCCCCAGACCTACTGATTCTTATGTATGGTTAAGGTTGAGAACCTCTAATAAGATAAAGTCCAAATTCTTTAGGCTATTATATAGTTACATATTCATAATTCCTTACAATGTTTCAAGAAACGGAAACTTGCAAATCTCCATGTGTAGCCCCAACCTTTCCTTTGAATTCCCATAATTCCGACAGGATTATGTTGAACTGCAGGCATGAAATTACCAATGTCTACAAACCATTTCTATTTCCAGGTCCTACAAGCAGCTCAAACTAAAGAAAAGGCTACAAAGAGGAGAGGCACACTGGAGTTCAGAGAGCAAGAGACCAGGCCTGATACCCCATGTCTGGAAGAGATCTGCGGGCTTCCTTCACTCACATGTGGCAGCAGCCTGGGGGTCACCCCACAAGTTCGTCTCTGAACTGAACGAACCATGTGTCAGAGCAGACACTCTGTGTACTGGGGAAAGACGAACTTTGAGTCTAGAACTCGTAAAGTCCTGCTTCTGATTTTAAACTGTGCCATCGAGGGCTTCGTTTCCTCTCCTGGGGCCTTGACTTTCACATCTGTAAAATGGGATGGTTGCACTTGGTGACCTCTGGGTCTCCTTCAATCTTGAAATCCCATGGCTTGTCTAAAACTGAACTAATTTCCCTTGAATCTAGTGTTGTTTTCTAACTTAATTATTGGCATAGTCTGTTACCAGGAAAGAAACCTTAATCTTTTTATTATTTCCTCAAGCCCCATATTCAGTTTTTTACCAAATACTCCCAATTCAGCTCCAGGAATGTCTCTCAAATTGATCACTATTCCCCTTAGTAAGTGTTGTTCCCTAAACAAGTTCTCATGATCTTTTAACAAGGCCATTACAGGTCTTTCAAAGTACCTCCTTGTCTCCAGGCTTTCCTGTTACATTCAATACGACCCTCCAAAGACAATTTAAAATGAATAATTTCATTTGAATAAATTCACTAAACGTTCAATAATGTGTGTCTGTGTGCGTATATACGGTAAAAAACACGACATAAAATTTTCCATCTTAACCATTTTCAAATATACAGTTCAGTAATGTTAACGATATTCACACCGTTGTGAAACAGATTGCCAGAAAATGAGTAACTGTACTTTAAGTGGACCAAGGATAGAACTTAAAATGGAAACGCATGGTGACCAGGTGACAAAACACCGTCACGTCATGTTGGGTTTTTTTTTTCACACTCAGAAAAAAACTGCAAGTAAACAGTTTAAAAAGAACTCTTTTAGGGGCGCCTGGGTGGCCCAGTCGGTTAAGCGTCCGACTTCAGCCAGGTCACGATCTCGCGGTCCGTGAGTTCGAGCCCCGCGTCAGGCTCTGGGCTGATGGCTCGGAGCCTAGAGCCTGTTTCCGATTCTGTGTCTCCCTCTCTCTCTGCCCCTCCCCCGTTCATGCTCTGTCTCTCTCTGTCCCAAAAGTAAATAAACATTGAAAAAAAAAATTAATAAAAAAAAAAAGAACTCTTTTAAAACTTTCTGTCAATACAGCTTTTGGATGAACTTTTTCTTTGCTATAATGTTACATGAGTAACATCTATTGCAGAGGCTGCACAGCGACGGCCCTCAGGCCATCTCTGGCCTGAAGATATATTTTGTTTGGCTCGAACGGTGTTTTTTTTTTTTCCCCCCAACTGAATTAGTTACCAACACTTTAAAACAGGAAGATTCACATTAAAATCCAGAACAGCTTGTGTGAAAAAAAAAAAATTACAGATAGGGATGAGCAAGCATTCCTACAAGGAAACGATTAGCCAAGATGTTCAACAGATGCCACCTTGAGACCAAGTATGTTACACTTCCGCCACACTCTAGAGAGTGTCAATGCCTGCGTTCCTCATTCATACCTTTTAGCCGGCCCCTTTGGAGTACTTGAATGTGGCCCCTGTAATAAATATTGTCAACGATCTAGTAACTGGCCTGACAATCATGTTGGTTCCCCTATAAAGGTGTTAAGTAGGTTGACTTGTATTGAGTCTTGTTTTTTTTTTCTGCCTGTTCATTTTTGAGAGGGAGCGCAAGAGAGTGTGCACACAAGCGGGGGAAGGGGAGGGGGCTAGAATCTCCAGCAGGATCCACGCTGTCAGTCGGCCCAGAGTCCCACGGGGGGCTCGAGCTCATGACCCTGATATCATGACCTGAGCCAAAACCAAGATCGAACACAACCGACTGAGTCACCCAGGTGCCCCAAGAGTCTTGTTTTTAACTTTTTTGAAAATTGTACTTTGGCATTTTTGGAATAACAAGTTGTTCAAATAGATACACCTTCCTGAACCAATTAAAAAGTGCACCTCCCAGGCACTGTTTTTTGGCTTCTACTGTGAATACCAAGTGGCAACAGAATTTTACTTTCAGTTTCTGTTTTGTTTTGTTTTACTGTTTGTTTTCCTGACTTTGTATTTTTACTTTTGTTCCCAGTTCTCAGCTACGTTTGTTAGGATTCTGGTTTGCACACAGCCCATGTGTTATTCCCCATTACAGGACGAGGGTGACCTACTGTCTTTTGGGTGTGACGTGGCAAAGAATCTGGTATGTTAGTCTTTTAGTCTGTAGAATGTCTTGCTTCCTTTGGACAGAAGAAGAGTCCTTTTGAGACCGAGATCAGTGAATGTGTGTATTTTATGTTACCTTTAACCGGTAGCTGAAGTTTCAGACCTGAAGCCAGAAGCTCTCTGTGTTTGTACTTGACAGAGTGTTTACTCCTTCTGTGATTTTGAAACATTTTTCTACTTCTGGAAAGGGTCTTAACAAATTGGGTATAATTTTCTTAAAAGATCTGTTTCTATTGGTTTACAGATAGTAATATGACATAAAAATATAAAGGAACATAAGAATCCTCAGGAATTAAAACAGTGAATGTACAATACTTTCAATATGGTAGCCTTTTTGTTAATGTTCTTTATTGATTTGTCTGCTTTGCTCATTGCAGAGACACTCAGGGGATGTCAGTTAGAAACCAAGCCTGTAATCCCTTGAAGTTTATAAATCCACAGCCCTATGGACTCGGGGCAGGAGGGAGGCAACCTCATATTTCCTAGAAAACGTGTCCTCAGAGTTTCATCTCTGCACCATCACCATCAGCCGTTACATGGGGACTCATCAGAAATACTAGTTCTGAGTCCAGAATTCTGACCAATTGACTTAGATACTTTGGGAGTTAAACCCAAGAGTCAATGTTTTAAGAAACCTCCAGCTGATTCTGAAATACATTATAAGACATTCCCCCTCTTGCTGTGGTTCCTGTGGATGGACTGCCTTCATTTCTTGTGCTTAACAGGAGTCTCATTATGTCTGCAGGATTTCTGCAATGTGATTGCAAAAATGTACCAATGCATGATTGCTTTCTTAATGCTTTAAAATGTACAAAATAGCAAAATTCCTATTTTTTATTAAAGGAATACCACATTATATTAAATGTGGTGGCCTTCTAAGAAAAAAAAATCCTTCTCACGGAAACTGACAGGTCAGAGGCAGTTATACGTAAAAAACCATGGGGCGCCTGGGTGGCTCAGTCAGTTAAGCATCCGACTTTGGCTCAGGTCATGATCTCATGGCTTGTGAGTTTGAGCCCCACATCAGGCTCTGTGCTAACAGCCCTGAGTCTGGAGCCTGCTTCAGATTCTGTGTCTCCCTGTCTCTCTGCCCCTTCCCTGCTCACGTTCTGTCTCTCTCTCAAAAATACACAGAAACATTAAAAACAAAACAAAACAAAAACAAACCAAATTTAGGGGTGCCTGGGTGGCTCAGTTGTTTAAGTGTCCAACTCTTGATTCTGGCTCAGGTCATGATCTCATGGCTGTGAGATCAGGCCCTGCATCGGGCTCCCTGCTGGGCACGGAGCCTGCTTAAGATTCTCTCTCCCTCTCCCCAGCTCTCTCTCAAAAAAAAAAAAAAAAAAAAAAAAAAAAAAAATCCAAATTTAAGCAATCAAAGTGAATCCTTGAACAAATCAGACTGGTTGATAATTCTGTTGTAAAAACAATTCTGTCTGAATTTAATCCTTATAGAATGTAATATAAGTATATGTTTTACTTTTTAAGTAAAATTTGGGTTTGTTTCCTCATGAAGACACTAATTACATTGGGACTTCTTAAACAGGTCTACTGATAAGCTAATGCTGCTTCCATATAATGTTAATGGTTAAGGAAAATATAAATATAAATGAATTATATTTCTGACAAACTTTTCTAAACCGACAGCTATTATATTCTGTGGTATATTAGATTAAACATAATTTCCAATACTTAAATTTAAGATGCTGGGCTAGTATTAAATTGAATTAAAGGATAATCTTTGCATCCTTGAATAATTTCCACATAGAACAGAATACTGAAGCACTGGGAGCCGTGTGTGGTTTTGTGTCATATACAAATAGGGATTACAAGTAGGGATTAAGTCTGCTACTCTAAGATCTAAGACACAGGAAGGATATGTGCATTATGATTGTCCATGAGCTTTCATCGTTTGCTAAAACACTTGTATGGGACAGTAATTCCTCAGGTATCTGGCTCTCTGTAAAACAGATGTCACTCTGGGTAAATTATAATTAATATGGAGATTGAGACTCTACAGAGAACAACACTGGCACAGAAGTATAACCAGGCAGGTGAGGTAACAGGAGGTGTTTTCGTTTACTAATGGGAAAAGATTAATTTTGTACTTGAACTCAAGTATTTAGGTTGTTCCCACATGTGGGAGAAGATTAAGGACAAGGCCCAGATGAATGCTGAAAGTTATAGGTTTGTGGAAAGGGAAACTTACTTGCCTTGGACTGTGTAACTGCAAGTGGTCTAAAAGTTTATGCAATGAAATATTAAAATGTTGCCAAAGTTGGATGTTTGGTTTTTATCAACTGAATTATAACTGACATATAACATCCTGTTAGTTTCATGTGTACATCACAACCATTCAACATTTTTATACATTATAAGATGGTCCCCACGGTGAGTGGTCGTCATCTGTCATCATATGAAGTGACCATGACATTGGCGACTGTATTCCCTATGCTGCACTCTACATCCTGTGACGGTCACTAAGTTTGTGCCTCTCAATCCTCCTCACCTACTTTGCCTGTCCCATCTCCAACTCCTGCCTGTTCTCGTAGCCAACAGTTCCCTATATCTATGCGTCTGTTTGGTTCATTTTACAAGTTTCCGGTTTTGTGTTTTTTAGGTCCCACATACAAGTGAAATCATACAGTATTTGCCTTTCTCTGACTTACTTCACTTATAATAATACCCTCTAGACCCAGCCATGTTATCACAAATGGCAAGGTTTCATCCTTTTTTCTTCGGTAACATTCCACTGTATACAGATCCCACATCTTCTTTATCCATTCATCTATCGATGAACACTTGGGTTACTTCCATATCTTGGTTATTATAAATAATGCTGTAATATATAGGGGTGCATGTATCTCTCCAAATTGGCATTTTCATTTTCTTTGGATAAATACCCAGAAGTGGAACTGCCTGTTTGCATGGTATTTCTAATTTTTTGAGGAAACTCCTTACTGTTTTCCATAGAGACTGCACCAGTTTACATGCTCAGAACGGGGTGTGAGTGTTCCCCTTTTTCTACACCCTTGCCCACACTTGTTATTTTTTGTCTTTCTGGTACAGCTGGCTCAGTTTTGATTATTTATTCATAAGATTAAAAA